TAGTTTATTCATGATGTAGCAATTTAAAGGAACGTGCGGAATGTGAGTAATTAATTAATTTAATTACTTATTTTATTTTAATATTGCTAGCATTTATATTATTATTTGATTTGACTAAAAATTTATTGTTAAATTGCTTCCAATATTAATGTTTATTCTATTATATTTTTTATGATCACCATATTTCATGTTAAAGGGAATATGTAATTGAAAATCACGCCTAATAAGATAATTTGGACAACTGGTTTAGGATCCTTTTTAATCTTGTTGTTTAATCAAGTGATCACAATATTTTAGAATTATATGTTGCATTAATATTAAACCAATTTAGCCTAATAATAGTTTGGATCAAATTGAATCTTTGTTTGTATGCCCTTGAGATCGCAGGAATCACTTTTCACTATAAGAATCGAGTAGAGGCCAATACGGGCGAATGTGACTCCATGACTCACTTCGTACCATCATCCCCGATCCTCCTTTCGTGGTTCCGAACCATATGGAGTTAGTAATCTCATGGATTATGAATGGGGTGTAACCTTCACGGGTCAATCGTTGTTGCCTATCGTTGTCCCTTTATTCGTGGTTGCCTTTTATGATCCGTGAACGGTTTACAAGTTCCTTAAAAACTTGTTGGCGGCTCCCTACTTTCCTTGTCCCTAATCGTATTATGTCAATTCTCACTTCCTATGAGTGCCAAGCATATTCACAACATGCTTTTTACGTAGGCGCACTTCGAACGACGCCTACGGTAATAACTAAAATTTCTAATATCATGTATGTTTTTATGATGCTTCCTATTTTTCTTCCTAATATCATGTTAGTGTCATGTCAGGTATAAAGTTTTGATCTTTATTGTTTAGTGACATGCTAGGATTTGTTATTAATCTTGTTAGTATTATGCCTAGGATCTTGCTATTATTATTATGCTTTATTGAGAATATTATTAATATGATTATGATGATTGTTAATTATTATGTTGCTTGATATATTATTATTGTTATTGAATGATCACACCTTTTATGCATGTTTAAAGGGAATTCGTACTTGTAATCACGCTTAATAAGATAATTAATAATCTTGTTTAGGCTAATATGATTATAATTCAAGTTATCGCCAATAATAGATTTGTTTGTGCATTAATATTCAACCAACATAGATTAAACATGTTTAGGGTTGACCTATTGATCGTATGTTAGTCAAAAAGCGCACATGACTACGAGAAGAATAAAGTAGAGGCCTATTTTTAGGGCAGGTTCAATCTCTTTTAGGTTGGATTTGTACCTTCATCCCCGAATATCCAGTCATGGTTCCAGACCACTATGGAGTTAGCGATCTCATAGATCGTGAAGGGATGTAACCTTCACCCTGTGAACGGTTTACAAGTTCTTAAAACTTGTTGGCGACTCTTTTACTCTAACTTCCTTCCCTTTAGACGCCACCATGCTTAAGTGTATGATCACAGTGGGGCTCAAGTTTGGGATGCTTAAAATATTCCCTACACCGTACCTTCCTTCTGTTTGTTGTAAAATCTGTATAATTACTGTAATATCATCCATCTTCAAAAACTTTAGATTAAACATCCGTAAAAACTTACAAACAGTTGATACAAGTTTTGGCGTGTGAAAAATGTATTTAAGAAATGTAAGAATCAATAGGTCTTAGCTGCATCCTGGTGCAGCTAGGATAGCTGCGTGCACCATGCCCTATAAAATGAGCATTTAGTAAAAAAAAAATATGAATACGCAAAAACATTGAGCATTCAGTTATAAAAAATGAACACGTAAAATAAAGAATATTTAAAACTAGTAACAGAAAATATTTTAAATAAATGATCATTTGAAATATTAAAAATGAATATATTATCATATAATCGCTGGCGTACGATCTTAGAAATGAAAATTTAGTAAAACAACACATAAAAAATGAACAAATAAAAAAATGAACATTTTCAAAAAAAATAAAAAATAATAATAATAATAAAAAAAAGAAGAAATTTTGAATTTTAACACCTCCAAAAAAAAACATAATAAAAATGCTCTATTTTAGCACCATCTAAAGTTTAAAAATTTTGATTTTACCATAACTTAACGATTGTCGTCCAAAAAATCGTTAAGTAGGGTCTTTTGTGCCGCATGTCGCCAAATAATTAGTTTTTTTTTTTTTTTAAATCTGAAAAAACAAAAACCCTAAACTAGCCACCCTATCCTCACCGCTGGCAGCACGCCGCCGCCCACTATCCCACCCTAGCCACTGCAGATTCCGCCTCTCCCTTTTCCCTTCCCCAAAACCGATAGCAGCTCCCTAACGGCCGCTAAAAACAAGTAGTCTTTTCAAACCACCCAACACCGACTATCAATAACGACCGCTAATGGTCGAAAACGATCGGTGTAGTGCCTAAGTGGTTGAAAACGACCCTTAACGGCCATAACTCGGTCATTTTCGACTCTTAGCAATCGTTTATGATGGTCGTTTCTAAGGGGTGTGAAAAACAACCACCGGTTTTTTGTTGCCATTTTGGTTTGGTTGCCAATTGTAGGGATGGGGAAAGAGTTGGGGTGGAGAATCAGGTGGCTGTTGGGCCCGGGAACGACGATGTTAGGGGGGTAGTGGCGGTGACGTGCTGCCAATAGTAGCGAAGTGGGTGGCTGGGTTAGTTTTAAGGTTTTTGTTTTTTTTATTAATTTAGACCAATAATGTGTTGACACATAGGAATTGTGGGTCCCACTAACGGATTTCATCCATGAATTAGTGAAGTAGTGGTGATAAAAAACCATTTTTTAAAAAATTTTTGTGGTGTTAAAATAAAAGTTTCTATTTTTGAAGTGTTAAAAACTATTTTTGTGTTTTTTTTTTTTTTGATGTTAAAATTCAAAATTTCCTTACAAAAATATGAACATTTATCATACAAATCATAAAATAATTGGATATTAAAATGAACATTTCATTAAAAAAAATATGAACACATTAAATAAAATGAATACGTAAAAAAATGAACACATCAAATAAAATTATAGTATTTAATATTTTAAAAATGAACATGATTTTCATATAGCTGCATAGGTTCAATTTCATTGTATATATATAATTAATAACGACAAATAAAGATAACATAATCATTAAAATATGTTCATTTTTATGTACTAGATATTCATTTTTAAGTGTATTAAATGTTCATCTTGTACTAAATGTTCAATTTTAAATACTACGTGTTCGATTTTTTTAAAGAAATTATACACAAGTTTGATTGTAATTATTATCTAAATAGTTTAATATAGGAAAAATTGTCAAAAAACATCTTTTACAACACCTGTTTTTGTGAAAAAACTTATTAAATTTCCTTGTGAAAGCACATCTAAAGCCACCTTTTAAAAAAAAAATAATAAGTAACACCTTAACCCAAATTTTGGTGTTTGATTTGGTTTTCTGACATTGACTTTGCACATGATCTCATAAAATTAGCTTCCTTTATATTTTTCCCCATTCCCTCACCAACACCACCTCACTACCACCCCACCGCCACCACCTCACTGCCACCACCAATTCACTACCACCCTCACCAACACCATCTCACCCAATAAATCTACTCCCATGAAAATTCCACCCCCGTCAATCACCCCCACCATCCAAAAACCCCACCCCACCTCCTCACCCCCTTCTTCCATTGAAGCTCAATATTGCAAACATATAGAAAAAAATAATAATAATAATCAAAGACCATATTGGTGGGCATCCTAAACACATCGGCCCCTTGAAATTATTGCTAATTCTATCCTAAACACATTGGTGAGCATAAATCAGTCCCAAAACAGTAACCCTAATTTCCAATTACAAACCCTAATTTATGAATATTTGAATACCCAACAAAATTAACAAGTAATTTCATTAAATAAATACCTTAATAGCCCCGAAATTAGGTTAATTGCAGCAATTTGAGCTCAAATATGGAGTTTCCTTCTTCATTGGAAAGTAATTGAGGCTTGGTTGGAAGAATAGAGGATAAAGGAAGTTCGATTGGAGGGAAAAAGTGGAACAAAAATTAAGAAAGAGGTTTTTATCAGACCATGTGTGACTCATGTGAGAGTCAATGCTTGAAAATAAAGTCAAACACTGTAAATCAGGTTAAGGTGTTCGTTCGAAAAAAAAAAAAAATTAGGTGTGCTTTCAAAAAAAAAAAAAAATTAAAGTGTTTTTTTCACAATTTTCACAACAAATATTATAAAAAGTGTTTTTTGACAATTTTTCTTTAAATGTAACATTTTTAAACCATAGTCATCATCAAAATAGCTTAATACTTCCTCCATTTCACTTTGTTAGTCTCTTTTGAAATCAATCACTTAAAATAAGAAAAAAAAAAGGAATCTTAGTAATTTGGAATTTGATTGCAACTTTGTAATGTATGTTTTGTCTTTTCTTGTTTTATTTGTTTTACTTATGGTTATTAGCTATAATTAAATTGCATATAATAAATTTTGATTGGAAAATTTGTCAGCAATTCACTAGCACATACATTAACCAATCAAAATTATTTGATTCTTTAAACACTTTTTTTTTTTTGAGAAAACTTTAAATACCTAATTAGATTAATTAGGTACTAAATGCAGGACAATTTCACCTAAATACAAAATAAGTTATTTTTTTTTAAAAAAAACATTATATTCCAATTTTGTCCTTATTTTAACTTAATCCTCTACAATTTTTTTAAATGATAAAAATTAATCTTGTATACTCCTAACTATATAATCATCCATATTCCCTACTGTTTAATTTACAACCAAATTCTAACGTATTCAGTCTTGTATCCTATTTAATATTGAATACTATACAAATTCAAAGACAATAATGAAGTGCACTATGACGATTTTTTTGAGGTGCGAAAATTATGTGCCGTAGTAGATAAATAATCAAACTTAAATAAAATTTCCATCTTGTACGGCTAAGATTTTCGAAAGTCTCCAGCACCCCCCTAATACGATTTATGGGGGTCTCTGGTACCCGCCAGCTAAGATTTCCGGGGGTCTCCAGTACCACATCTATGATTTCCAGGGGTCTCCAATATCCACTTAATAAGATTTTCGGGGGTCTTTAGTACCCATCGGATAAGATTTCCAGGGGTAAACAATACCCCCAAAAAACATAGATGGGGGTACTTATAACGAAAAATTACAACAATTCAACAAAAAAATTAAACAAAAAACCTTAGACTGGATGGTTTATGAGCAGTGAACGACTTCTTCGTCTCTAAGGCTCAAATTGAAGAATTTTGAGGGAAATAAAGCCTACTGAAATGGCGAATACGTTTTTTTTTTTTTTTTTTTTTTTTGTAAAAGGCTATTTCAGTCTTTTGATTATTTTCGTATCATTAATTAATTCCTACATTTAGGTTATTTTGTATTGCATTTATGCCATGTATTATTTGCGCACAATTTATTCACCTTAAAAAAAATGTTAGGAAATATTCAATATGGGTATATCCTTTTGAAACGCCCAAAATAATATACGACACTGATAAAGAGAAATGAAGGGAGTAATTACTACCTTCCTCAATTTACTCTTTTTTCCTGAACCACACTCTCTCTCCTCCACAACCACCGGCTTCCTCCGCCGTCAAAGATATCATCATTAGTCACCATTAAAGTCCTAAGCTCAACAAATGAAGCCAGCCCCAAACCCTCCATCATCATTCCTCTCATTTCGAACCTACAAATTGATGAATTAAGAGTTCAAGAACTCAGGGGGAAAAAGGGACGTTTTGGCTTCAATGGGGTTATCACGTTCTCCGTTGAATCCTTCTAATACTTGTATCTCCCATTCAAGCAGTTTCTCAGGTAACCTGTTTCTTTTTGTTATCATGATATAATTTCACAATCTAATTTAATTGTCACTGCATTAAGTGTATATTTTAGAGTATAAGTTATTGAATTGTAGCTTGTTTTTATTATTTGAGGTTGATTACTTGATTTGTGATGAACTAATGTATAATTAAACTTATAATTCTTGTTCAATGATTGTGTGATGTGTGTTACTTGCCTACTAACATTAAAAGTTTGGTGTAGGACTTTTTATTTGGTTTCTTCCATGTATGCGACGATATGCATTATGTGAATATGCATTTTGCATTATGTGAATATGAATTAGACAAGTTGCCGCGATTTCCATCCATCACCCTGGTGTAATATTACACCCTCATACATTCTTCTCCCAGCATACGTGTAGAGGAGATTGTGAGAGGGTGTAGGAAAGACGTTATGCAAACTTACTGTTCAATTCACTTCATTATGTCATCGACAAAAATCTTCATCCTCCATCCCTTACAAAGGAATAATCACCTTTTGGTTTATGTATCTGACCCCACTTATGGAATTAAGGCTTTGATTGATTGACTGATGTCAATGTTTTTGGTGATAAAAATGTAAGATTTGGGTACATTTTTCTATCTTAAGCCAACAGCAGATTTTTGTGTGGATGGTGGTCATAGTTATATTTTCGTCTTTTGATTTGACTGGTTTCTGTATGACTTAAGCATTTTGCCTCACTCTTCAAGTCTTCATTTTAATAAACTTGAGATCTGGATCATGATTGTAGGTTTCAATTGAAGATTTAGAATGATTTGGGATGCAAACTTCTTTAGATATTGTTTTGTGGAGGAGCTGTCGTTTCTTCTTCTCTTCTACATCTGGCCAATTGAAGAGATCAAAGTCTATCTCTACTCAATCAAAAGAAATCGGGAACCTTCTCGTGGCAGCCCATATCACCAAAACTTTGTCTCGATCTGGAACGGAAAATCTTGATGTTGATTCCGTATCTCTCTCTGGGAGTCTTATTCAGCATGTTCTTAGAAAGACCTCCCTTGACCCTTCAAAAAAGATTGAGTTTTTCAAGTGGTGTTCTGATAGGTATGGTTATAAACACTCTACAGAAGCTTATTCCCAGATTTTCCGTGTACTTTGTCATTCAAGGAGTCGCCAGCACCTTAATGATCATGTGGTGCGGTATCTATTTAGTGCAATGAAGCATGATGGTGTCCTTGTTGATTCAGCCACCTTTAAGCTTCTGCTTGATGCTTTTATCCATTCTGGTCAGATTGATTCTGCTCTAGCAACTCTTGAACAGATGGAAGCTTTAGGAGCTACCTTTAGTCCCCTAATGTATAATTCTGTTGTCATTGCTCTGGTTCGAGAAAAGCAGCTTGGTTTAGCTTTAACTATGTTTACCAGACTTCTAGAAATGTCCAGCGGCAGTGGAGCTGCTGTTCCCTGTGAGCCTGTTGCCTGCAATGAATTGCTCGTTTCTCTCAGAAGAGCCGAAATGAAGGAAGAGTTTGGGAAAGTATTTTCCTGTTTGAGAGAGAAGAACATTGCATTGGATGCATGGGGTTATAATATATGCATTCACTCATTTGGCTGTTGGGGTGACCTTGAAACTTCACTCCGTCTTTTTAGGGAGATGAAGGAACCAAATGCTGGTACATGTTGTGCTCCAGATTTGTGTACTTATAACAGTCTCATACATGTACTTTGCTTAGTTGGCAAGGTGAAGGATGCATTAATTGTTTGGGAGGAGCTAAAACACTCAGGTCATGAGCCTGATGCTTTCACTTATCGTATATTAATCCAGGGCTGCTCCAAATCATATCAGGTTGAAGTTGCAAGTAAGATCTTTAATGAAATGCTATGTAGTGGTTTCCAACCAGATACTGTTGTATACAATTCTCTTCTAGATGCTTTTCTAAAGGCTAGAAAGCTCACAGAAGCCTGCCAACTTTTTGAGAAGATGACGCAAGAAGGGGTTAGAGCAACATGTTGGACATACAACATTTTAATTGATGGGCTGATTAAAAATGACAGGGCAGTTGCTGGTTACACACTTTTCTATGATTTGAAAAAGAAAGGGCAGCTTGTCGATGGAATTACTTATAGCATCATCATTATGCATCTTTGTAGGGAGGGCCAAATCGATGAGGCCTTGCATTTGGTAGAAGAGATGGAAGGCAGGGGATTTGTTGTTGATCTAGTCACTATAACTTCACTCTTAATTGGATTTTATAAGCAAGGTCGATGGAATTCAACAGACCAGTTGATGAGACACATAAGAGATGGAAATTTGTTGCACAATGTTCTCAGGTGGAAAGTTAATATGGAAGCTACATTGAAACATCAGCAGAAAAAAAAAGAGGATTGCACCCCCATTTTCCCAGCTGAAGGCAATTTTAGTGAAATTGTGGACTTGCTCTCAGTTGGTGGTGGAGCAGATAGCGGTGTAGGATCAGGTGATGATGAATATTCAGATTGGGAGTCAGGCACTGCTGATGTGGATGAGTGGTCATCATCTCCTTACATGGATCAATTGGCGAATGAAGTCAAATCCAACGGCCAATTTTTTAAATGGTTCTCTTTGAACAAGGGTCGGCGAGTTCAAGCAAAAGGGATGAACTCATTTGATATTGACATGGTTAATACATACTTGTCCATTTTTTTAGCAAAGGGTCAATTGAGCATAGCCTGCAAACTGTTTGAGGTTTTTACTGATATGGGAATTGATGCTGTGAATTACACATACAATTCCATAATGAGTTCATTTGTGAAGAAGGGTTATTTTGATCAAACGTGGGGAATTCTTCATGAAATGGGTGAGAACCTTTGTCCATCTGATGTAGCAACATATAACATTATAATTCAAAGTTTGGGAAAGATGGGAAGAGCAGATCTAGCTAGCTCCATTCTGGATAAGCTTGTGAGCGAGGGTGGTTATCTTGATATTGTTATGTACAATACTCTCATGAATGTCCTTGGTAAGGCTGGTAGAGTTGATGAAGCGTTGAAGCTCTTTGAGCAGATGAGGAAAAGTGGGATAAACCCTGATATTGTTACTTTTAACACATTAATTGAAATTCATACAAAGGTGGGTAGGCTGAAAGATGCGCACAAACTCCTAAGGATGATGTTAGATGCAGGTTGTTTACCAAATGATGTGACTGATACAATATTGGATAAGCTCGGGAAGGAGATGAAGAAAGCACCAACCAAGGGCAATGATTAGAAAGCACCAAAAAGTCATTGATGTAAATGGGATTTAATCCGATGTCATACCTGAACCTTGAGGTCTTGGGTACTTTCCCTGGGACTTTTACTTTATATTTAACTGGGAAAATTGATTGGATAATATTGAATGTTGCATGAATTATATTGTGGCCCTTGTGGGACAAGAATTCTCTGTTTTGTTGGCTGTTTTCTGTAGCAGATTGTGTATCAGACATTTGGTCCAGAAGGGTATCACTATAAAAAGTGTGAAAACCTAGTTGTTGTAGACTAGTAGTATACATTAATAAATAGAAGGAACATATATTTCTGGATAGCTTTGAAATAGTACCAAGTGGGAAATCAATTATATGTTTTATGAAGCTGCTATCAAGATTCTGATGTCTTATCATGCTAGTTGCTAGCTTAAGTGAATAGGAAATGCCTAAATGGTAAAGTGTTAGTGAAATTTCTGATGATAGCTTAACTGATTTGATCATGGATACTTTTCCGTTTCTTTTAAGTTATTATAATCTAGTTCATGTAGTGAAATTGTTTGTTGATCTTAGGACTTGGAAGTAGGACATGGGGTCATTAGCTATTCGTGTGAAGCAGGTCGGTGTTTATCAAGTACCAATTAGTTTTGCTTTGATGAAGAATGCCATGCTCAGAAGTGCGTTTTGGGCTTATAACAGTGTACGCCAACGATCTACTAATGTGAGCTTGCTTACTCTCCCACTTAATATCCGAAGGATTGGTACAGTTCATTGCACTTTTGGTTCATCTTCTAACGGAAGCGGTAACATAACCGAAAAGGAAAATGATGAGGATTATGTCAACTCCAATGTAATTGAAGCTGGTAGGATGTACTCTCATTACCATTTCATGAGACTGAATGTTGGAATAGCTATGATTATATAAACTTCATCAGCTCATCTTATAATTTGGTATTCTTGCTTGCTAACATGTGTCTGAATTTCCTAGGTCCATAGGATACTACACTGTATTTTGCTGTTAATATCCAAAACTCCAAAAGTGTCAAATGATAGTATGAGACTGCATTGTACAACCCCTATTTCTATGGTTGTTTTCTTACGACCGATTATTAACCAGTCATCTCACGTTCTGTCTCTTTTTGTAACTGTTATCATTGCACTAGATTGTTGGGAATATTGTGGTAGATGTATTATAAACTTTATTTGCTAGGATATTAATGAACTACTTAAGAAAAAACTTGTGTTCTCCTGCCATATCTACTTTTTCAATGGTGTTGATTCAAGATACACCCTAAGTTTAAAATAGATACAAGTCAATTCTGCATGCCTGCTTTGGAGCAAATAAGCTCCAAAAGGCATTCACTGTTGATTCTTTGAAGAATCATGTGTTGCCTGTTTCTAGATTTTGTTTTCTTCACAAATTATTTTGTGCATACTATTAATCAGTATATCTGTATTGCTTTATTGTAGTGGAGGTGAAAAGTGGTTTAGATGGCTTGACACTAAAGATGAGAGATGGCAGCTTCTTGAACTGTGTCCATAACATAACAGCCCTCAAAGTGACCAACTTCCAGATTATGCACCGCACCCAGCCATTGTGCTTAAGATGGAAGATGGAACGGGTCTTTTTCTTCCAATAATCATTTGTATGTACATAGACCTCTTTGCTAGCAGATCTTTGCGTTTTTTGTATTTTGCTAAACCAATTTGATAATTGTCAAAACTTCAAAATTATGTGTTCTTGCAGTGGAGAGGCCTATTGTGTTGCTCATGGCTGCTATGCGTAATATACATATTGTAAGGGCTTGTTCTCTTACGTTGAAATTCAATTCAATTCAATTCAGCTCAGCTCAGCTCAGCTCCTAATTTCCTTCTCTTATAAAATATTCATTTCAGTTCAGTTCAGCTCAATTCAGTTCAGTTCTGTTCAGTTCAGCTGAGTTTAGTCAATGAGAACAGGCCCTAAGTGTATATTTTTCAATGCAATGCAATTTTACTGTGAACTTAATCAGCTATAATTTTCATAGTTATATAAATTTAATCATTAATTTTTCTGATGAAATGTGCAGGTTAGGCCAACAATGTATCAGAATATGAAGGAAATGATTGAGAAGATGAGATACACAGTAAGTGGATTTAAAAAAAATTCCCCTCCCCATCGGTTATTTGGTGGAAAGTGTAATTTGTCTTTTGAACCCCACCAAGCATATTTCTTAGATGCATCTTTGCAGGCCAAACTTGTCCTTGTATATAAGAGAATCTATAAAGCATATATTGCTCAGTTATATCTCACAAAGGCATGTATATAGTTATGTTTACATTTATAGATTGTTTAAGTTTTTCTTGTGAAGAACAATAGAAAGTCAATGATAAAGGTTGATAATGAATTAAAATGTATCAGTTTTGACCTTCGACCTTCAGGTACATATATTTTCTTCAAATAATTACTCTTCTGGGGCCTTTTCGGATGCTATCTTTCCGTTTAGCCTTTTATAAAAAAATAAAAAATAAAAAAAACCACTTTAATTTACCTTTTTTGTTCTGAGCGCTACTATACTGCGTCCTTTTGTTAATTTTTGCTAGATTCAGTGCTAGTTGCCTGATATCCTTGTATTTCAGTTCAGATTTTGGATCTGTATGCTTTTAGCTTACTGAAGTCAGTGCTATGCCTGTCTGTTATGCTATGCTGCATTGTATCGATATCTCAACTTGTCTTCAGATGATTGTACCTTGTGTAAAATAGTTTCTGTTAAGCAACTTACACAGAATACTGTTTGCATTGTTTCAGGCAAGGAAATAAGTCTGATGCAACTAGATCTGTTAATTATTTGATTATTATTCTAAATTTTTCCTCATATGCTATAATAGTTACTCAAAGTTAATGCATATGCTTTCCCCACGGTCCAACTGTTGGTTTGACCATTTGATAGAAAGACCTAAGAGATATGGAGTAAATCATTCTTCAGTAATCAGTATCGAGTTCTTACTATATTTTACCATTAGAAAGTTGACTTACCCGCTCTTACACATCTTCTGCTACAACATGCTTTCTGTTGAAAATGAAGAAATTTATGTTAACAGAAGCCCGTCAACTAATGTATCATAGACTTTTCACTACAAAGATCTCTTCTTATGTACAAGCAATTCCAAATAACACATACATATCACAAAGTCTATCAAATCTTATAAATTAAATAGTTTTTAAGCTTTACTCTGAAGCTTATCTGTATCTTTACAGCAGCACAGGTGCCTATACAAGTCAACAGGAACTTGGCTCAAAGTGATGGTATGAAGATTGTTGAATCTCCAAGGGCCTTGCATAAGTATTCATGTCAATCACAGAAGGATTAGTGACATTAAAGAGGATGTAAATACATTTCAAACAAAGCCAAAGCAGATGCCTTCTGAGAAAGAGGAGTTGCTAAATGCTGCAATATATTGAGTGGATGCACTAGATGCCAGGTTGAGTGCAACCAGAAAGGTAGCTCTCTTAATTGTAAATTTGTTACTATTACTAATCATATAATGAACTGTTTTTCTGATGTAAAAAAAATGAATAGAGAAATCAAAAGGGCAGCTCTTCGTGTGTCCTGCTGCAGGAAAATTAAACAAGGCTGTGAGGTGTTTTATGGTTCTTTATATCATTGTTTGATGGGCAGGCATTACATGAAGCTTTGATGAGGCAGGAAGACTTGCTTTCATACTTTGATACACAAGAATCTGCTAGATTCCGGGATTATGAAAAACCTTGTTCCTTCAGCTATTGATGTGAATGTGGAGTTTTCATAGATGCTTGTTGCTTACGTTTATCATTCAATCTGCAGGAGAGAAGGTTCAGCTGGTGAAGAATGGGTCGCTGCTTACGAGAAACTTGCCATATTCTTTGAGTCTCTTTCTCAGCAGTGTGAATTGCTGTAGAGTTCTGATTAACAGAGAATTTTCCTATATTTCTGAACAGTAATGATGTGATGGATGTTATAGTTTTCTGTTGAGGTTAATATTCATAGAAATGAGAGAAAAGTTAGTATGGTCTACTATTAACATATCATGTGATTGCCTTTCTGAATCAAACAAATTTCATAGGTGTAATCGATATCTACTGATATTTCTTACAGTCTCCTGAAGATCTGATTATATGAGAAGAACTATCCCAACCAAAAGTTATTTCCAATTTTAATCAAACACAATAATGCGGAGGTAACTGTCAGTCCATTTAAACTTGAATCATTCACCATCACCACAATAAAATGCTAGCCATGTCCAGACGGATTACCAACTGCTACAAAATTTCCGCAAATATGTACTCTATACAATTGATCAATGCATTTTTTTTTTTGGCAAGTAGACAAAAGATATATTACCACCAAAAAAAAAAAAAAAAAAAATGTACAGTGCAGTGCCTAGAGAGAATGAGATAGTGATATATGTGCTCACTCACATTAGAATATTACTGACAATATTCTCTTGAATCCTTTTGAGATAATCAAGCTCAGCATGATTCTTGTGAAAATTCAATGCCTTGTTTACAGCCCTTCCACTGTCAACATCACAAGAACTATCTTGTGAACTGGAGGATACTTCAGCAGCATGGCTCTTGCGGACATAAGTCACAAAAGAAAACCGAATACTATTTTCCACCATCTGCCTGGATGAGAACAATGGACTGAACAATAATGAATCAATTTGGGGAATGAATGTATCACATTCGATGTTTACCTCTATATCAGTCAGATGAATCGCCTCACAACCAGGATCATTCAATGCTTCTCTGTAACAAAATAACAGAAAATGACCATCAGCAACCATTAAAACAATAAAATTGAAATTACGATTCAAACTCATTTCACATTGTTCTGATTTCCATTTTTAAAATTTAATCGTAGTATCAAAACTTCCAAAGCAAATTATGTATGCCTAAATCTCTAAAAACACTAAACAACAAAACTTCAATGGTACCAAAAAAAACTTATTACACAGCTACAATCAACTTACTTCAGAATTTCACCACCTCCTATAACAAACACCTTCTCAGTAGACGTATAATGAGGTGGTTCGGCCAGTAACTTCAATGCTGAGGACAAGCCATTGCATATAACTAAATCTTCAAAACTTTCAGCTCCCAACTTCCCTGCACGAGTCAGCACAACATTGAGGCGGCCAGGTAGAGGCCGATACTTTTGAGGAATGCTTTCCCAAGTCCTCCTCCCCATGATCACTGCATTTCTTTTACCATCACCCATTGTAGCTGTTGTGATCTCCTTAAAGAATCTGAGATCAGATGGCAAATTCCACGGCAATTTTCCATCCTTCCCAATTCCCATTTCTCGAGTTGCAGCAACCACAACATGATAAGGCCTTTCAAGACTGCAATTTACTTCAGTCTTCCCATTGCAAAGATCCACAGAAGCTTTGCTTTCACAAGCCCTTAGTGAACAAGACAATTCCGGCCATGTACTCTTATTTCGAAATGTCGATAATTTTGGCATTGAAATTGAAATATTGTTGGCATAGCTACTTCCATGAGAGATCAACCAGGTCTGAATAGTAAAAATTTGTGACACATACAAGTCAGCGAAATTACAGATTTTAGCATTTACTTTGAATCTTGATCAACCATTTCATAATTATTTGATACACATGATCATGATCAAGGAGGAGAGAAAGATCCCTTAACTCCCTCATTTTTTTCGCCTCGAAAACAATTACAAGTACCTCTCATTTCCTCTATTACAGTCCATTTTAACACTGGTATACCATATAACAAAGGGTAATCTTGTTAAAAAATACTTCTACATGGTTTGAGGCGATTAAACCGTCGTATCATAGATTCCAAATGGGACCAACATAAAAGAACGGAGCAAGAAACTCTCATTCTATCAACATAGACAAAATTTCATAGTCAGAAAAAATAGGCACAAAGCAAATGTAAGATTGTGAAGCAAGTTTATAAATTAAATTTGACTATAAAGGAGAAAATAATACCTGGGAATAATGCAAAATTCGACAGAACAGATGGGATTTTTGAGCAAATTGCCCTGTCAACATCTGCTCGCATACAAGATGGGATTTAAAGTTTTTTTTTTTTTTTTTCTTTTCCTTCGAGGTAATTGCTTTTAGGTTTTTATCGATTTATCTGAGAAAATGAGTAGCAATTCATCTACTGAATGACTTTTTTTTTTTCCTCTCTTTTATGTAGTAACGGCATGATATTGAATGTGTGCCCATCCTATTGAGAAGTCCCACAGTGTAACCCCATGGTATGGTTAGTAACTCTACCGTAAGTCCGTAGCCCATGTCAGCGAACATTTAAGACAAACGTTAGAGGAGCAATTATTCCGTCACCTAATCTTCACTTTTAACTGTACCTTTCTCTCTCCTTGAAAAATATTACTGATTTGGGTATTTCTACCCTGCCACATGGCCTAATGAGAGCGCGGCATGTGTCACCTGAACAGGCCTCCAAGTGGACATCTCAGGGGCGGCTGACACGTGTCAAGCAGATTAGCCCTCAGAAATTAGCGGCCTTCAAGACCCAATTCTCGAGGTAGTCGTAAAACGGCACAGCCTAGGATCCTAGATCATCAAACCCTAGAACAAGGCACACATTTTAAGGACCCTATAAATGGGACATTCCCCCAATTATTGGGATACCTTACAAAGTTACAATCATTACATCATTTACTATTCTCGAAAATTGATAAAACACCTGATCTCGAAATCCGAGAAAATATTTACTTTCCGCACGTTTTTCTCCGATCCCGTACTAACTTAACTGCCGAAAGCGGACATTTGGCGTCTTTTGCAGGTACATGCGACTTGGATCCAGCCTGTGAGTTGTAACTCTCCCAAGGGACACAAAGAACCCTAAAACATTTGGCGTCGTTTGTGGGGAGAGTACCTCAAAGATGGTTTCAAAATAACATGTTGTTGGAGAGGTTTTTTCAAACCATGACACTGATAACGACTGTGAAGTCGAAACCTACGTGGCCCCTAATGGGTCACTCACCTCTAAGCGCATCCGTCCTAGGGACAAACTGGAACGGAACAATGATCAGGCGGGTACCAGCAAGCCCCCTGGACAGCCGTCTGTTTAGACACAGGCGGCAAGATCTGCCTAGTCACCCGACACGAGCTCATGAAATTCATGACGAGTTTCAAGGGTGAAATCAAGGACTTGATCACCAAAAAGACGATTCTTTGCTCCTACAAAAGAGTAGTCGGCCAAAAAACCAGCTCAGTTTGAGAGAGCTAAGTCAGTTAAAGACCGACACCCTACTCCTCACCCTGTAACCAAGGAGAAGGCTTGGCCCTTGATTGACCTTTCTTAATTCCATTTCCCCGAAACGGCAAAGAGAAAAGCCACCCAGCATGTTCAGCCGGACGACAGTAAAAGACATTTTCTGATGCTTGGCTTTACATCGAGCTAAAGAAGATTCAACAGCTGTTCGAGTCAGCTTCCACGTCGATTTGCCCAGATAGCTTCAAGAATACCTCAGTGAGGAATTCATAATCTGTACATGGAACTTCGTTAGGCAGTCTTTTCGTCCGCACAGGTCCCAAGGTAATTAATTAGGCTCCGTATGCGGCTAGCCATTATACAGGCCGCCTGCACTGCCTTATATTTAACCTGCCTTTTTTTGAGGGCAGGTGGCTTACTATTTTCAGCCTATGGACCGGCAGCTTCGGCTGCAAAACCTTGGAGAACAACCCTCTGCGTTCTCCATGGAAATAACTAAGGTCGAACAGCCGGCCAAGGTTAAAAACGTGTTGGTGGGAACCTATGATGGTACCACCAACCTAGAAGATCACCTTATGGCATACACCCACCAAATGTATCTACAGAGGTTGGATGATGCCGCCTGATGTTGATGCTTCCGGCTACCCTGAAAAGCATAGGCCAACAGTGGTTTGGCAATTTGCCGGCTGGTGATATGTCTATTTTATATAGTATTTTACCCTCGTCCCTTGGTCATATTTGGTAGTGTTTTTGGCTCTTTAGAACCACTTTTTTATTAGTAATTGGTGTTTTCTAGTGTTTTCGTAGTTTTGGTTGCGTTTTGTAGGGAATTGCACTTTTGGAGCATTTTCCTGGGATTTTATGGAGCGACTACGAGCATTGGAGGAGCATGACCACTTTTCATAGCCCAAGGTCGATTAGAGTCATCGAACCGGTGATTAAGGGCTCGACATGTGAAATACCAAGTATTGGACACTGAGTAATCAAGCCCCAAAGTGGAAATTTGGAATGGGCTAAGAAGTGAAGCCCATTCCAAGTCCAAGCATAGCCGGCCCCGATCGGGCAACCTTTGGCTCGATCGGGCAGCTTCCCAGGATCAGAGAACAAAGAAAAAGGCGGGCCCGATCGGGCGCGTGTTTCTGGTGGGGTGTTTTCTGCGATTTACTTAGTTTTAATTAGGATTTGTTAGGAGTTTTGTATAAGTACGATTTAGTGTTATTAGTATTAGGGACCTCTTCTCTTAGACATTCTCTCTCTACTTAGCTTTATTTTCTTTCTCTCTATAACTCTATACTTTGTTCTGGATTCAACTCATTATTTCCGTTAACTTTGGTAACGATTTCTTCTCTATTAATTTCAGTAATTTTATTTCTTTTTTTCATCATGATTTATTTAATTTCTTTGATTAGTTTAGACTTAATTATATGTGAATAGTTTTCTTTTAAGGGTTTGTGGGGATCCATGAATAATATGATGAGGTAATTTGTTATTGTTGATTGTCAATGCTTGATTAATTTCCTATTGATTGATTTAATGCTATGTGGTTAGATTAGGCCTGGTTTGTTATGCAATATTGATTCGAGATTCGAGAGATGAGAATTGATGTTTAGGCTTAGTTTCAATAGGCGGACTAATTTATAAATGGTTAAGTCGAGATTCGAGAGATGAGATTTAATACCGGTAAATTAACTTTGTGATTGTATACGTAGCGAAAGCTCTTTATGATCTGATTAATTGATGCATTGATGATTGATTGTTATGTTTGACCCTGGAATATTATTTATTGGTGAACATATGCCCTAGGTCTTTTATTCATTGATTTTTCTCTTACTTTTATTTCTCCTTACTTTTATTCCTAGTAGTTTAGTTCTCTTAAATAACAACAAATTGGTTACTTGATAATTTAGATTACTTTTGATTAATTAGGAATAAATTAACTTCTTTCCCTGTGGTTTGACCCTTCTTCCCTATTTGCATAGTTAATGGACTTAGGAATTATTTTTTATTAGGTGATTACGACTTTAGCCTGTCAGCTGGATGTATAAACAGCTTCAAGATGCTTGCGTTCTTATTTTCTTCAAACATTTCTTTGAATATCCCTGCAAAGAAAACAAGTCTCGATCTAAACAATGTGCAGCAGGAGATAGAGAAGGACTGCGTTCCTACATCAGGCGGTTCAATCTGGTGAGAATCCAGATTCAAGGGTTGTCTGACGAGGTAACCTATACAAACTTCTTCAAGAGTCTGAAGGATAGATCGACCTTCAAGTTTGACCTAAATTGCAGCAGATGCATATATATACTTAAAATACATAAATCTCATATATTTTCTTTAATAACTTGTAATTTTACACTTTAAAAAGGAAGAATAAAATACATTTACTTATAGCTTTCATTACTTGTAAATAAAAAGTAAAAAAAAAAGAGCTTTCATTACTAACTAATAATAGAAGCATCAGCAGCATCAAAGACAGGAGGTAGTAGCAGCAATTGAGATGATGGCAGCGAAAATTGAAGGTCCCTTTGAGATTTGATGACTACAGAAGGAGGAGAAGGAAGCTGAATGCAGTAATATTGAACTACTTCTTTTAAGAGTCTTGGAACAGGGAATGGAAAACGTTATCATAAGTCACATTTCTAAAGCAAAGATCATATGTAAAGTAGAGAGAGAAAATGTTTATTCGTTGCAAATAATATGAAACAGAGGTAGTATGTTTTTTAGTTATAAATTATCGTACAGGTCAAAGTTTGGTCAAATCAGAAAATCAGATTAGACTAGATCATATAAGTTTAGATAAACAAAAATAAGGTGAACTAAACAAGCCTTTAGTAATGCCCCTAAACTATAAATATACTAAAATAACAACCGTTGACATCACCACTTTTTAAAATTGTACACATGTTAAGCTGTTGTTAAAAATTTTCCCGCCTAAATCAATTGTTGACATCATATTCTTATTTTTTTTTACCTTAAATTATTATAATTTTTTTGAAGACAATTATTATATTGTATTATACTCTATATTTTATATTATAAATTTATAAGTGACTATTTGGCTTCAAAATATAATTACTCCTGTTAAAGAGTACTCTGTATTGCATAATCTGCTAAAATTTTTACTGCTCATCAAAATAAATTAGATCTAAATATCATTGCAATTAATAATTATGTTTCTATAATTAATCTCATATGAGAGACATACATAAAATATAATTATTTCAAAGAATTTTTTATGTCGTGCATCGCACGAGGCTTATCTAGTATATATATTTAAAAAAAACGCCCCTAATAGTAAGAAAATTTTAATCCGTGGTTTATACACACGAGTGTACAGTGCTCACCGTACACCCGGATAAATAAAAAAAAGTCGGAAAGAACATCCTGTGTTTCATACAGAATATACATGTATTTGACAAAGAACATGTTTGTATTTGACAAAAACATACATTACCAAAGAACATAAAGATATAATAAAAAGAACGAGATAAAAACTTAATAAATTTTTCTGAAAAATTACACGTTATTAACGGAAAAAATTGAGCTGACAAAAAATCGAGTAGGGCCGGGTCATATCATAATTTCTCGTGCCCAAACCCGTAGAAAAGTAGCGGGTTTTCGGGCTTTTTTCGAACCCAGTTCGAGTTTTAACTAAAAATGCATTTTTAGGTTTGCCCAAACCCACCCTATTTCGGAGCGGATCGGGTCGGGAAGCGAGTCATGCCAATGTTGATCACCTCTTAAAAAATCTTTATCAAAGATATCATTTCTCAAAAAAATAGTTTTCTATCTCTCCAAAAAAAATTCAACTGTAACATCCCCAAATCTCCCTCTACGGAATTACTAGCATAATACGTATAATTATACTGTAGAGATAGATTTGGGCATATTACAGCCGCGAGATTATGCAAGGCTACTCAAAGTACTTAACTCAACTACAAAACTTGCAGCGGAAACTCAATTTTATTTTATTAATACTATAAAAATAGTAACATTGTTATGAGTGTTCAAAAATAAAGACAAGACCAACATTCCTGAACTAGGTGAAGCAAATCCCTGGACTCCCATATGCTCATTCATGACTCCACCTAAAAATAGTCAACACTGCTTACCATTACGATAAACAGGGCGATTCAAAAGAAATACGGATTAGCAAAATATGCTAAGTACGATAAATGCAAGATAGTGTAAACTCAATTTATTTGCAAACATGCTTTTAAAACCTATTTCAATAATTAATCCAATAAGTTCAAAAATCATTATTCCAAAACCGATTCCAATTATTCAATATTCAAAATAATAGTTAATAAAACCAATTCCTTTATTAAGAACCAATTCCTTTTAATCCAATTCCTCACCCAAGTGTGCACACCCCCCAAGCTAGTCTCCTTATATTACAAGACTATTTTTGAGGAAAAACCCGGTCATACAAAGTCCATGACCTTATCAATAAATCAAATCCGCATAGTGGGATTACTAACATGCTTATAAAGCATTAATAAGAATAATTCAATGGTTCAATAAATTCTTTTGATATCCAATAGTTCTCAATATTACTTAAACACGATAAGTAATCCAAACCATTCAAAACATGATTTAAAAATCAATCATTCAAATACTTTTATTAAAATAAATACCTTCAAACATAATTTATTTCAAAATCAATTGAATTCAATCACCAATCAAATCATGTAAAACATGTTATTCAAAGCAATTACTTTCAAAGGTATCTAGCCACCTAAACGTACCTTGATCATAGCTAGAAAAGCCACACAAAAAGAACCTCAAGAACCTTGATTGAACACACCCTACAAATAAATATAACCTTAATCAATATAAGGTTAACAAATAATCACAAATAATTAAATTAAAACCTCCCAACTATATGTACATGAACCTTTCAACATAAACATTATTAAAAATCTGATTTTATATAATTAAAACTACTCATAATAATTATTTATAAATCCCCCATAATAATAATAATAATAATAATAATAATAATAATAATAATAATATTATTATTAGTTGAATAAGAGAAGAGAATAAGAAAAGATAAGAAATCAAGGAAAAGAGAAGAATTGGATTTGCGTTGGAAAGAATATGCAGAACTTGCAGAGGCTATAACTCCTTTGATATAACTCCGAATTGGGTGATTCTTGAGCCTAAACTCAAGTAGTTTTCGAGAGGAACAATATTTTGTGAAATGTTAATACCCCAAAACTGACCAGAAGTGTCCGAAAATTGGCTTCAAAGATAAAAGGGATGATTTGTGTAAAAAGAGGAGAAGAAAAGTAGAGAATTGGTGTGAATAAGTGGGAATAATTAAGGGTCTATTTATAGTGTTGAGGGTATAGAAAGGATATAGCTTAAGGTGGATGAGATTAGAATAAGAACATGATAAGTTTAAGTTTGTTGAATGAATTTGAGTAACATTTGGTCTAGATTAGTAGGTTGATTAAAAGATAAGAAAAATTAAATGGATACACATGTGGTTGTGTAGACACCTAAAAATGTCTCCCCAAAACCAAACCCGATGATGAACAACCTTTCACCGGCCATTATTGGTCGGGTTGAGTATTTAATCTTGGAGTGCTTAAATCAAAATTTCCATTTCATTAACCAACCCAACTCCTATCCCATTTCCCCAAACCATAACTTATTTTCCTCTTTTCGTGCCTTTAAACCCAAAATAATTCATTTCGTGTCCTTTAAAATCATTCATTTCATGTCCTTTTTATAAAAACATTTAATCCAGTTTATTTTGTCCATAATCAGGGTCCAATGATTTAATAATTGGATGGGGTTTGAAAAGAGCTTTCCAACAATATATTATAAACCCAAATTCAAGTTATAACGAATAAGTTATGGCCAAAATATTAAACTGAGCCCAAACCGAACCTAAGCCCACCTTACCTACGACCCAATGATCATGTGGAGGGTCCAAATTATTTAATCCCATTCCTAAACCAATTAGGATTAATTGGAGGCTTCTATAATTTTCTAAAATATCTTAATTATTATTTTTAAAAAGATAAGATTAAAGAGTTTGAAATTGAATAAAACTTTTCTTTTTGAAAGTCTTAATTTTATTCGAATTGAAAGACGTTCAAAGATAGACAGATATTATTTTCTTGCCTCATAGTTTTTATCCAAATATTATATGGTTGGATATCCCTTGAAATTATCTTTCCAATGATATATTATAATATTAATTCCGAGCTATAACGGAAAAGATATGAATAAAATGTCAAACTCTATCCAAATATAATACCGTCTCACTATTTCGGCTATATCTTTGGTTCTACAAAATATTTTAATCTGATTCTAATTGGGTTATAAAATAGACTTCAAGAGCTTTCCAAAAATATCTTATTCATCTTACTCCGATTTCTGGATCAAAAGATATGATAAAAACAAAAACCGCAAAAACTGCTATCTATCGCAAGAGTTTTAATCCGATTCGAACTCGATCTTTTCTTGATTCTTCGACCCTCTTTTTTCCCTATAAATAGAGGTCATATCACCCCTTTTTCAATCATCAACAAGTTTGATCATCAAATCCTTCTCTCTTCCTCTCTTTTACACCAAAATTCTACTCTCTCTCTCTCTCTCATATTCTAAGCCTTAAACTTATATTCCTAATTACATCATTCTTCCCTTAAGCACTCCAAGGAGTCCATACTTAACCCGAGGTTCCGTCCTTAAACCAAGGCGTGAAAGGTACATATAAATGAGGGTTTGGACCAAATCAACTCTACTTTCTATTTAATTTAATTTAATTTCTATTTAATTTATATTTTTTTATTGAAGTTACTAACAATTTATTCATGATGTAGCAATTTAAAGGAACGCGCAGAATGTGAGTAATTAATTAATTTAATTACTCTTATTTTATTTTAATATTGCTAGTATCATGATTAGGGTTATTTTATATTTGATTTGACTAACGCTATTATTGTTAAATTGCTTCCAATATTAATGTTTATTCTATTATTATTTATTGATCACTATATTGCATGTTTAAAGGGAATATGTAATTGGAAATCACGACTAATAAGATAATTTGGACAACCGGTTTAGGTTCCTTTTTAATCTTGTTGTTTAATCAAGTGATCACAATATTTTAGAGTAAGGTGTTGCATTAATATTCAACCAATTTAGCATAATAATAGTTTGGAGCAAATTGAATATTTTGTTTGTATGCCTTTGAGATCGCAGGAATCACTTTTCACTATAAGAATCGAGTAGAGGCCAATACGGGCGAATGTGACTCCATGACTCACTTCGTACCAACATCCCCGATCCTCCTTTCGTGGTTCCGAACCATATGAAGTTAGTAATCTCATGGATTATGAATGGGGTGTAACCTTCACGGGTCAATCGTTGTTACCTTTCGTTGTCCTTTTCTCGTGGTTGCCTTTTATGATCCGTGAACGATTTACAAGTTCCTTAAAAACTTGTTGGCGGCTCCCTACTTTGCTTTGTCCTTAATCGTAATGTCAATTCCCACTTCCTAAGAGTGCCAAGCATATTTACCACATGCTTTAACGTAGGCGCACTTCGAGCGACGCCTACAGGTTGGGAGAAGTAAGATAGGAACAAAATGAGATAGAGAATTAGAGGTTAATTTAAATAATTATTAACAAACTAAGGTGATAAAATCACTCTCAAAAACATGATAAGCTCACGTTTACAAAAATTTCTTTTGTTTTATTTTTTATATTTTATTTTATTTTATTTAATTATATATATATATATATATATAAACAAAAATCATAATAAAATAATTGAATAAATAAATATTTTAGATAATATCAAAATTAGTTAAATAGTTAGTATAATAAAGTATGGACCGACCTTAAAAAAAGATAATTAAACCTATATTATTAATTTAGAAATCCGAAAATAATTAATTATTCAAATGATTAAATACTTATATTTGACGCCAAAATTCAAATATTATTTTGGCTCTAAATAATGAATTTACTAAAATACCCTTTTTATAAAATAATTCTTAATTAATTAATTAGAAAATACGTTTGAAAATATGGGGTATTACATCAACTTCCCATAATAAGTTAGTTTTTTTACTCTAATATTATTTTCAATTAAAAATAATTTAAGATTTCAATATCAAATTTCAAAATAACATATGTTAAAAGAACATAATTTATATTGTAAAGTACATATAGTTAATACCTAAATAACACACTAATCAAACACAAAGAATATACGATAATAAAAGTAATTTAAATATGACATATGATAATAAAAATAGAATTTGGGTGTCACTACGACCTTAAAGAACATACACGCCAAATTCAAAGAACATACTTTGTATTATTAAATCCAAAAAAACATATATGTTTATCAACATATGTTAAATAACATAAGTTATAATGTAAAGAACATATAATTTTACTCAAAGAACACACTGATCACACTTAAAGAACATATTAAAGGTATGTTCTTTGTTAAACATTGGTATGTTCTTTATCAAACAATATATGTTATTTCCGCCTTATTTTATTTACCCGGGTGCACCATAAGTCGGGTGTATTAGAAAATTTTGAGATTCTCTAATATTACAGGTGTGTAAGTAATCATCCTCTTATTTTTTTAATTTTAGAAATTAGAACCATAGAGGCAACTGTTAAGGCCTATTCAAATTTATTTAGGTAACTGAATTGATTGGAGTCTTGGAGATAAGATGAAGTGAACCGAAATGAAATTAAGCTAAAGCTAATGCATTACCGCGTTAGATTATCTCATTTTTATAGTGCACCTTCTCTCTCTTCTATTAAAACTTCAAAGCGTTCTCTGACTTCTCCATCGAAGCGGCTTCTGATCTTCTCCTCCATTGGAGCAATTTCTAAGGTAATAATAATTTTTTTTTTTTTTTTGTTAATATTCATTGAATTTCAATCCCAAAATCTAGGGTTTTGTTTCACAATATCGTTGATTCAATTGTCAATATAGTCGATTTAGGGATCTTATAAGGCGGATTATTGAACTATTGGCTATACTTACTGAAGCTATGAATATTTATAACGAACAAAAATATTGCTAGGATTTTGTTATGTGCATTGTACGTTGATATTCTATGCAAGAAGATTTGATGTGATTTTTTTTACCCTAATTTGATAATTGAGTCAAATTTGATTGCTAATTTGTTGCATTGTTCGAGCCTAATTAAGTCCACAAGCGGAGCCTCTTTGGGGTTATTGGAGCCCGAGCTGTGTGCTTGGGTTTCGAGGCTAATCGAGTTTCAGCTCGCCGAGCCTGCCTAAATTCTATTGAACTCGCGCCAAATCTACTCTTAATCAGGCTTGGCTCTACGGTTTAGCACCCAAATGAACCCCTCTTAAGGGTTTTATGATTAGCAAGGCATCAATAGTCAATATCATCGAGTCACTTCAACCAATCAGCTTAAATTTGCTGGTAATAGTTTATAGCTCGATAATGTTAGAATGGAACTACGAATATGGGCCTATTCTCCCCAGGGGTTACAGGATTGCCTAATGCAAGCCAGATTATTGCCAGGAAGCTTAACAGAGTATTGGTTAATGACAATAGGCTTGCTATTTCCACGAACTCCGAAGCAGACTTCAATAGACCTGGATTTCAATCATAACCACAGAGCAGTCACCTCTCCTGCCCTAGCTTTGGGATGTGCCTGTTATAGACAGATATTGGTCGAATCCTAAAGTTATATGAATATCGTTTTCTTTGTTGCTTTTCTCATTTATTAGCTGATTTCAGACTTGCTATTCATGTGCGAATATTTGATTATTGAATCAAATATCCTTAAAATTATGTATTTTTCGAGATAATTGAATATGAAATTAGACCTCTTTCCCCTGGTCTATCGCTTGTCGTTGTATTCAAGGTTGTTAGCTGAGTTCATCTCATTAACTTATCTGATCATAAAAAAGTTTAACTTGTGTGAATATTATAAATTTGGAATTGACTTTTTGTTGTTGTATTTTGTGTGAGCTTAGTTTCCTTACAGGCATGAAAAGTTGTTGTCTTACTTTGGTGTTGTTGAAATCTATTGATCTTAATGAAATGTTTAACCTAAAAGTAATGATTTTATATGCATAGGTGTTTACCTGTAACAAGATGATAATCATGATTAATGTAAGTTTGAGAACCGTTATTGATATTATTAGTATGAGAATCATGAATAATGTTAGCTTGAGAAGTCGATTGATGTTAGAGTTCATGCATAGGTACGAGATGCCTCAAGTTAAGGCATTCAACCATTCCTTTAGTATTCCTTTGCTTTCACTTCATGGTTCTATCTATGGTGCTTTCTTACTCCCCTGTACCACAATGTTTGGCCCGTCGTTTGCCTTGATTGTCCCTCAATATGACAAGGTGCTATGTTCTGCATTTAACTTTCCCTTCTGGGTCCATCATCTTGACACTTATTAGTGATGATGCTGTAAATTAATTGTTGATTAATAGTTGTCATCATCCTGTGTTCCTTGATTGTTTGCAAGTATATTTTCAACTTCAGTGTTTGTCACCATTAGTGTATGGGTTGGTATGATTGTTTATGGTGTAGAGTAAAATAATTTTTGTATGGATTGCCAATTGGTATATTTTGTTTTCCACATTTTATTACTTGTTGCGACTTGAGAAAGAATAAGATTTTGAAGTTTGATGTTCAGTTGATTTTTTAGTATTGATGTATAATGATATATTGGAGGGGGCAGATTCTGCTTTTATGGATTGGTTTTCTTTCTCTTGTTAGCTTGAAAAATCAAGGGTATAGACGGCTTGCTAAATTGTTGTGATTATTTACAAGTTTCTGGATACTGTTTTTTTTTTTTTTTTTTTTTTTTTTTTTTTTTTTTTTTTCTCCCCTCTTTTTTCTCCTCTTTTAATTTGAAAAATTAACATTCTATAGCTTGCTAAGTGATTGTGATTATTTACAAGTTTCTGTTATTCTGTTGAATGTAGACCTATGTTACTTGGACTCGGATGAAGTGTCTAATTAGACATGGGTGTCCAAGTATCGGACTTGCCCATTTTCTCGAAAAAAATTGTGTTTTTAGTTAAAAATGAAGTGTCCAAGTGTCGGTGTCGGTGTCAGTGTCCGACATGAGTCGTGTCGACACGGACACGCGAGGTAAATGAAAGAGTCCGAGTAACATAGATGTAGACCGCTAATATTTTCTTCTGTGAAAACTGGAAATTGTACCTATAACTTTCACAATAGTGAACGGAATGGCTGTTGTCTGTGGTTAGCTGATCTTGATTTTCTATACTCTTATATTTATTCTTTTTAAGGCGTCTGAATCTGGTTTGGCCCTTTTATGTTATGCACTAGTCCTTAGTTAATTGCCTTGTGCTTGGTTGACTTCTCCGAGGCTCTTGCTAACTTTTATTACTTTTTACTGGCAAGCAGGATGGCAGAGCAAGAGGCTCCATTTTTCCCAAGGGAGAAGATTCTTGAGAGGCAAAAGTATTTCCAAAGTGTCCAGAAGCATACATATCTAAAAGGACCCCTCGACAAGGTCACCTCTGTTGCCATTCCTATTGCTCTTGCGGCTACATCATTATTCCTGATTGTAAGTCGTTTTTTTTAAGCCTTAATTATTTTCAATTTAGGTTTAAGAGAACTGTGCTTCATGTCCTCAGTTCTCACTTTTGGTTCTGTGTTACTTTTCACTTTTTTCCTTCAGGGTAAAGGGATCTATAACATGTCTCATGGAATTGGGAAGAAAGAATGATGATGCAATATTGCTTATTGGCTGCTAATAGGATTGGCTATAACTTGATAATTTTGTTGAAATATGCTTTCAAATTGTAGTTCTGATAATTATGTTGAAATATGCTTTCAAATTGTAGTTTTGTTTTCCTTTCAAAGTGCTTATCAGGCCTTTTCATTCTAGTGCAGCATTTTGCTTGGTATTGAAAAGCAATGCTTTTGTGCTATTTGTACATTTGTTTCTGATTTCGCCGAAAATATTTTGAATAATTGGTCCGAGTCATTTCTAGTTTACTCCAAGTCTGCATATACAGTATCATGAATTATTGAATGAGTAGTTTTTTACTGGCAGATTATGCAGAGAAGCTTCATTACCATTTTATGGTGATCTGTAGGATTATCGTGGTATTATATGAGAATTTTGGTGTGTTGGCATTGTGAAGTTTGCCCATAGAAAAGGTGAATTATGTATCGAAGAAACAGGGTACTGATACCTTTCTCCACAGTTCATCTATATGAAAGATTAAGCTCTCACACTGTAATTGACTAGACTAAAGTGTTGTTTAGGGCATAAGGGGAGGCTACACCAAGATACGTTAATGGCAGGGGACCATAAAAAATAATAATAATAATAAAAAAGAACTGTAGTATTTGTAATTTGCTAGATTAGTTATTATGATTTTGCTAGTTTATTACATGTAAAGTTTTAGGGCTTGTTCTCTTATGTTGAAATTCAATTCAGTTCAGCTCAGCTCAATTCCTAATTTCCTTCTCTTATAAAATATTCAATTCAGTTCAGCTCAGTTTAGCTGAGTTCAGTCAATGAGAACAGACCCTTACATTAGTCATCTAGTTTGATTTTCAATGATTACAAGCTTGATAGTTAAAAGAAAAAATTGTCACGAATAAAATGACTTTTTACTAATCTTCTAATAATAAAACAACATTTTCATTGTTTGGAATAAAATGACCTTTGACATGCATTTGCTCAAAATAGAACGTGATAGGTTGATAACTTGTTTAAGAAGTTAAATGTAACACGTGTTGTCATATGATTGGTCAATTTTTATTTATTTATTTGTAAAGTTTCTTGTAATAAATTTGATTCTATTTTTTTTTTAAAAAAAAACTAATAGCCCACCATCGCCTAACCTCCACTAGCCATTACCCCCACCCTCCAATACTCCACCCACCAGCTCGATCCCCTAGCCCTCACCACCACCCAGTCACCCACCACCGACATTGAAATCCAATCCACCACAAGCCCTCAACCTAACCTCGACGAATACCACTCCATCCCCCACCAGCCCGAACCGCCACCCTACTCTTCCACCATGAACTCGAAATGACGAAATTTCTTACCTACAACCCTCTACGAATCCGAAACTCTCCTATCGAAACCAATCGACCACCAACCCTTACCCCCCCACCATTTTGAAACACCCATCCCAAAAATTAGTCGGCGTTGTGGAGAAGTAAGAGGGGCTTTGGGCATTGCAGGAATCGAGAGTGGGGGGGGGGGGATGAGGCAAAGGGGCATGTGCTGGTGGCGCTGAACAGACGAGAGCGGGGAGGTTGCTGAATGGGGAAGGGGTTGAGCTAGCTAACGGGGAAATAAGGGTTATTTATTTATTTTTATTAAGTTTTGTTTTTACAAAAATTCATTTATTTAAATGAAATCTGTAAAAAAAAAATTAATATCTAAGCAATCGCAGTTATACATGTCTGGTTTAACCTATAAAATAGGTAGAAGTTTATTTATTTTATTTATAGAATATATATGTCAAAGGTAGTTTTATTTTAGAATAATCAAAAGGTTGTTTTATTTTTGGATGATCGATAAATGGTCGTTTTATTCCAGACAATTTTTCCCAATTAAAATATTGGTGGTTGGTTTGTTTGTCATAAAAAATCAAACACAACTTCATAGGAAGTGAAAGATAAATTGTGGTATTGCTTGGTTGACAAAACTTTGAAATGTCATACTTTCAATTTTACTTCACACAATTTGACGACGTATGTGACATATCATTGCAAATTGTACATTTTTTTATATTATCTTTACATATCACTATAATTTATAATTTTTTTGGGAAATTTTTTCATCTAATCATAATTGTAGGATTAATTTCTTTTTTTGTACATGCATAAATATTTATCCCATGAAACAACTTGTGTATCATTGAACTCATAAAAACTAAAACCAAACAAAGCTCAGTATAGAGGCACACTTACTACACTCAAGGGTTATTTTATTAAAAATAATAACATAAACATGAATTTAAAGTAAAAGGAGAGATATGAGGTTGCAAAGGCTATGGCTTTGGAATAAATAAATGGGAAATTCTCTTTAATAACATTGTAGTTTTAAATTTTCTCAGTGGTGAATTGCAAAAAACTTATTATCAATGGTAAACTTGAATTTTTTATATTAAGTTAACCATAACATTATTGATAAATTGTAGTTAAATATTTAACTATAGTTAGTTTATTTATTTTATTATTATTTTTTTACTTTAAAAAAAAAAGAAATTATTATTTTTAAAATAACAAAAAAAGTCAGTCCTTCCCCCACCAACCAGCCACCACTCTCCGCCCCAACCCATGCCGACACCCAGCCCCTCTCTCGCCGGCGCACAGACCTCCGCCTCCCCTTGAATTAGAGGTGATCAACATTGGCCCGGCCCGAAAATAGGGCGGGTTTGGGAAAGCATAAAAAGCATTTTTAGTTAAAAAGCCCGAACCCAGCCCGAAAAGCCCGTTTTGGCCCAACAAGCCCTCTACTTTTTTACGGGTTTGTGCATGATAAATTGTGTTAAGGCTCGGCCCGACCCGATTTTTTATCACCTCTACCTTGAATCGACAATAGCCATTACTACCTTCCCCACCGTTAGTTTCGGCCGTATAATAGTTTCGACCATCTTCCCCGCCCTTAGTTTCTTTGCCGTCAACAGCCTTCCTTCACCTTCTCTTTCGTCGACGTTTTTTTTTTCTGATCATTTCGCTTCCAATTTGACCTTCTTTCTCTTCGTTGAGATTTGATGGGTGGTTTCTTGCCGTTGATCTTCTAAATTGGGATTTGCAAGAGAGAATTTGGGGATTTTTGTAGAGTTAGGGTTTTGGATAAAAATCAAGATTGGGAGGATGCATGGGGAATTGGGGTGGAGGGAATAAGAGGGGGAGTCTGGCAGGGGAGGGACGCCGGATGGCTAGGGGAGGGGTCATCAGGTAGTTGTGGTGGAAGGAGGAGAAAGATCGAGAGGTAGGTTATAGTTGCGGTGGGAGGAGGGTCGTTCAATAGGCAGTGATTTAGAGGTTGTGCAGTTGGTGGTAGTTGAGGAAAGGGAGGGGGATGGAGGCGGTGATTTAGGGGGGATGTGCGCCGGCCTGGGGAGAAGGGTTGGGATGCTGACGGTCGGGTTGCTTGCTGTGGTTGTGGTTGGCTGGTGGTTGAATGGGTGATTGCTTATTTTAAAATTATTTTTAAAATAAATTAATTGTTAAAAAGTAATTAAACCAACCATGGTTAAGGAATTTGGTTAAAATAGTTATTTTCTTTGGTAACAAAAAAAATTCAAGTTTATTAATGATAAAAAGTTTCTTTTGTAATTCACCACTGAGAAAACTTAAAAATACAATGTTACCAAAGAGAATTTCCCTAAATGATTTGAGAAGAGTCAAATATGATGACTCTTTAGGCTAGGTAAGCTAATAATGTAGGTTCAAGCCTCCAAGTCTAGCTCTAAAGGGAAGGGGTGAGCATTGAAAATCCCTTTAATATGATCATGTATGCAATGAAATGAATGTGATATCAATTTTGGCCACACCTCGATGTGAGGTTGCCTAAGTTTCTGTTAGAAATCAGGCTGAATGTAGCTCTAGCTGAATTCACACAAGATTATGTAAACCTCAAAGAGGTCTTTTAAGGGTTGTAACGTGGTTAGGCTAAAGGTTAAAGAAGAAAGGATAAAAGACTCAAGACCTTGATAAGCCCCCCAAGATGTGCAATTGTGTTTTTGGAATTTTGAACTTTGCTAGCTACATTTTTCAATTTTGAACTTTGCTTTTATTTATTTTGCTTTGAATTTTTCTTTTGCATAATTCTCCAAAATCATGTGGTCTATCACACATTTAGCATTCATGTTTCTCAGGCACGGTACCAAGCACTCAGTCAAAGACACAATTCGAGACTTGTTCATATAAAAAACATTAGAACATTTGCTCTTTTACATTGTTTATTATTATTATTTTTTTATTACTACTACTTGCTTTTTTGTACATTACAAGATTTCACACCTTCCCATCCCTAGTGGAGTCGCCAAATTGTAAGGTGTCGCACAAAGTGCGCCTATGTGGAGCATAGGTGGATATGATGCTTAGCAATCATAGAAAGTTGGATTTGACATATAACGAAAGGGACAAAAATAGGGAGCCACCAACAAGTTTTTAAGGAACTTGTAAACTATTCGTGGATGACTAAAGGCAATCACAAAAAGGGACAAAACCAAAGGTAACAAAGATTTGATCAATGAAGGTTACACCCTATTCATAGACAATGAGATTACTAACTTCATAGTGGTCATAAACCATAACTAGCAAGATATTCGGGGATGATGGTACAGATTGAATCATGAACCCAATACGTCCGTATTGGCCTCTACTCGATTCTTAAAGTGACATTTATTAATTGCAACCCAAAAGACATACAAACAAAAATCAATTCGCTCTAAAGTAATTAATCTTAGCCAGTTGAATTTTTAATGCACACATAGATCTAATTATTGTGATCACTTGAATTCAACAACAACATTACTAGAAACCTAAACCGATTATCCATATTATCTTATTGAGCGTAATTTTTAATTACATAATCCCAATTAAACATGTAATATAGGTGACGAAAACAACTAAAATAAATCATATAAAATAAATAAGCATGCATAAGTATAGGAAGCAACTCAATATTATTTATAGAACGAATTAAAAGCTTCCTAACCATGATACTAAATAATTATTAATAAAATTCTAACCATGATACTAAGAAGAATAATATAATGCCTGAACATGATACTAATAATATAAAATAGGAAAAATTGCCACCATTGATCCCAACTTTTCTCCATCCGCCAACATTAATCTCAACTTCAGTTTATTCCCTATCACTCCTAACTTTGCACCCTATTAATATTTATCATCCCAACCGATCATCCAACCTTATGTAGAACTGACAATATTTCCTAAAAAATAACAATCTTAAACATGATACTAGACAGAATAAATATTGTAGAATTAATTAAACG